CATTATGAACGTAAAATGATTTTCCCAATATCGCAAAAGGCATAACTATGATATTCATTAATAGTTTAAGTTTAAGAAAGTACTAATTTCAAAACTGTTAAACTTTAATTATTTGTGTTAATATGTTTTTACCAAATGCATGTATATTTTAACTGTATTTCTAAGATATCTAAATACAAAAATAAAGGTGATCAAAATAATATTTCGTATATTTTATTACAGAATAGTTCACCTTGAATACTCAACTCCTTTTTTTCTTCGATAATATTGTTACCAAAATATTTTTGGACATTTTAAATATTCTTAAATACCATATTTTCAAACTATTAAAATTGTATGTACTATTTTTTAAGGACCTGTGGTGATAAAAGTTTCTGTCTTTCGTATAACAACTCTTGTTTTAATGTAAATTATTTAATATCTAATTTTTCTAAACATTTTAACATACCTAAATAAAATTTCAAACGAGTATTTTCTGAATTTCTTAAACTGCGTATACCAAGAAACTTGATAATAATGTGTTTGGAAGATATGGGAGCTATGCTAATTTAAAAATTTAAATCATTAATATCAATATATCAATATTTATAATAATATATAAAAATTTTCCAGGGTTAATAAATACAAGTAACAATACTACATATATTACTTATGTTTTTGAAAAACCATTCTTAAAGACTATTATCCTTAAAACGATTTTTTTTTTTTTTTTTTTTTTAGCTGAGAAACTAACCTTTTAAATTATGGATAAGGGTATATTAACATTATTATTCACTAAATAATTTTATCAATATAAAAGAGAGATTCTCATTTTAAAAACAATAGTTTATATCACTGCATAAACCTCCTTAAGTGGTACGAATAATCTTAAAAAAAATTAAAACATGGTCTAAAATATATTTAAAAATTTCTAAAGTAAAAATATGAATAAATTCATTATTAATGATAACATTTATAAATAACATATTTATAATTATTACTAAAATAATTTCTAAAATACAATAAAACATAGACTTAAGTATACGGATATGTTAAAATATAAAATATTACGTTTTTCTATATTATATTATTTTATTTTACTGTTTTATACATATTATAAAAACTAACAGGTATTTTATATTCAACCACACATAATACTTTTATATGCATAGTAAAAATAATATTTTGATATGAAAAGCCACTCTCGATGTGGCATGATTGAAATTTTGCACTTGGGTAGTAATGTTTTAGGGTACAAAAAAAAAGTCATACAAATGCCCGACCCTACTCATTATGTATAGTCACGTACTCACATATAAAGTTTATTATCTATAATAAAGTACTGATACACACGCAGAAATATATAAGGCTATTCATTAATTATGTCCGATTAGTCGGATGGGTTGATGGAAACTATATTACCCCATCGCAAAAAATATCATAATGAATCACTTCGTAAAACTTTCACTAAATATATCTCTTACATGTATTATATAGAAGTTAAATTGCATTTGAGTCGTAGATATATTTTATATTTGTATACTAAGAGTTTTAAAAAATGATATTACCATACTTTATGTCACTAAACAAATATACCGGTGATACAGTGTTACACGTCATAATCATTCAATATATACATATTTGTATATTTCAAACATCACGAAAAATGCATGATCAAATTATTAGAAAATATTGTTAGTTTAAGTTATAACAATGTATCTCGCACACTTTATTACTTTAAACATATTTATTCGTATTCTTTACACAATGGTATACCCGAGTTGTTTTCATGATTTATGAATATATATTATGTTTACCTGTCAGTTGTACATATTTCTGGGTACACAAAATAAGAAATCTTAAGGGTGTGTTATACTATGAAAATTTCAAGATTAATATGAACACATGGGTACATACGTGGGTATCACGTTTATATTTTATTATAAAAATAACACGATCAAAATCAGAAAAAAAATGTTCATCAAATATAATATTCTATGTCCAAGAATGAAAAACTAAATAAAAATTGCAATAACTAGTTATTTGTTGTATTCCTTAATAATATCGATGTTAAAACAATATAATTTAAATTAAGAAAAATAAAACCTTATAAGTATTAAGTGACAAAAAAATATTAAATATTAGTTTAAAACCAAATTAAATTCAATAAAAATAAAATTTCATGTAAGCTGAGTTTTTTAATTATAGTTTATAATATTAGTTAACTCAAAAATTAAATAATATAAAATGAATGAATATTAAAGATAACATAACTCAAATTATAATAACTATAATAATACAGTATAGGAATAAAGTACGTAATATTTAATCAAAAAACATATTACCTCATATAATCTGTATATAGATTAAAAATAATTTTTAATTTATAAATATTATATAATACAACAATTAATAACACAGTGATACACCAATTTTAAAATTATTAGTATTTTGTTATGTTTCTCATTTTTATTATTTTAATGCTTCTACAATTAAGAACAAAAAAAAATTAATGTTTGTAAGAATATTCCAATTGCTTGAAACATAAACCTGAGACAAAAGTGTGGTAATATTATACTAAACAAAATCAAGGTATTAAGAAATACCGAAAATAACGAAATATAAAACTCTGATGAAATTAAATCTGATTAATTTATGTTTGCCATTAACTAAACTATATTAAATTATTTAATATATTATATTTAAAAGATGACTAATTCTAAAATTAAATAAAGTTTATATTCTAACAAAAAATAAAAACAAATTACTTGCATTTGTTATACATTTTATATTGTTAATCTAATAATAAAAATTAAGTAAATAATTAAAAATAAAAATAAGTATTATAAGCTATTACAACTGTTTCGCTTTGTAACTATCTAAGAAAAGTGTACAACGAACCTAAAGTTATTTCAAATGAGATTTTTCCAGCATTAAAATGTTAATTACTCGACTAAAGGTCATTTTCATTCGGCAATATCTTTTTTCTCATGTTAAAAATGTTCCATTATTTTCCACGCAGAAACTATTTTTCTCGTTTTCTTTTTTTCTTTGGAAAGAACAAACTAAACAGTATACAAGAAAATAAGAATTGGAATCTATAGGTTCTTTTGACAAGAAATAACACAAACATTTGTAACATCATAGTTTTCCCATGTGAATACCACGACTTAATACCTATCTACTAGTGAAAAATGACGAGGGAAGTTCCCCCTATCTTCACAACAACACTCTATACACTTAAAAGTGATAATGAATGACGTATACCTACTTGATTAAACATCATTAGTACTAATCACTCGCATAGTGAAACAGTATAAGAGTAACTGTCATGACCGCTAATTAAGCTTATTAATTAACCCACACGTCGTCCAATGATGTTTAAGTTTAGTCAGCCACTTATGTTTTCAAGAGAATATCGTAAAAAAAATATAATATTTGAATGTAAAATAAACCTAAGTAAAATCAAAATCACGTATACCGTGAAATATTAATCATTAATTAAAATGATAAAATCATGTTCAAAAGTAACTCATACGATGAGATTACAAAAATGCAATTGTTAAAATGTATTTTTTATTTTATGTTAAGTAATTGATATTGTTTTTATGTATTTAAATTAATAAAATCTTGATACTAAACCTAATATAATATATTCACAATATCCACTGGATATAATATAGTGAGTGTATGGGTCAGTAGGGGATAGTAATAGTGTTGAGTGAAACATTTCATCAGAGAAGCCCTCCTTCCATTAAGGATACAAATTTAACATATATTTTAGTATTACACTAAACACAGCGAAGAAAAATAACTATTATCATTTGTTTAACGAGGTTATAAAAGTATTATATTTTGAATAAATATATTGTTTATTATCGTATCTAGTATCTCTTATATCTACATACTATGATACGTTATAATTAAATCAACAATATTATTAATACTTGATTGAAGACTTTGATATTTCATTAAAGAAATATTTTGAATAGATAGATATACTATACCTATATATATATATATAACCTATATAGCTGTATAACCTACATTAAACTTTTAATATATTAATATCAAACTGAATAAATGCAAGTTACGTACTCATTTTATAACATAGTCGGTGTTTATTTTATAAATAATTTAAATACAAACATAAACTCATAAGAATCTTTTTTGAGATTAGTATGGAGTATTCGTTAAGTCTTAAGAACAGTCATAAATAATTTAAACCAAATAATATCATAACCGCAGGAAGAAACTTAACCCATTCGTGATTACACGAAAATGTTCTCATTATTTATAACAAACAATATTTTTAACAACTGTTTCAAAACATAAGATATGTTTAATACGACTACGTCTCGTGGAAACTTTCATTAATACACTTGAGTTAATCGGAACTTTAAATTTCAATAATAGTGGTATACGTGTTATTGTAAACGCGAAATAATTGCACTTTTCGTTTGTACCGATATTATGCATTGAGGTGTAAATATTATTATGCACATTCGTAAACGCGTATAATTAATACCTTCTCGTATGATTTTGATCGTGTGTCGGTGGGTGGGTACGCAATTATAATGAATTCGGGACGTTTCACACAGTGCCTTCCAAAATTACACGTCCGAAACGTGATTTTTTTCCAATTTTTCCACTCGTAATTTATTATTTTAGTTTTTTAGATAACCTTGTACGGCGCGTATGAAAAAAGCGAAAAATGATGTTATTAAAACGATTTCATTTTCAGCCGAGCTAACCGTTATAGTACACTGTAATGGTGTATTAAAGCAATCGATCCGCTGGTATTCCAATAGCGCGGGGTGATTTAAAAAAAAAAAAAAAAAATGAAAATGAAGAATCCGTTTGGCGGGTAATTTGTTCGGGTGAGTCCGATCGTGGAGCGGAATGCTCGGGATTTAACCCACACACACACATGGCCTGACACGGCGAAACGAATAACGGACGCGATTAATTAAAAACAAATCAAGTAAAAAATGTGCATGTGATATGAAATGGACACCGACCTGTTTAAATCCTCTGTACATGATGCGGATCTCTTGTCTGGTGAACTTGGTCTGCCGGCACAGGTCCTCTAGGGCGACGGGCCTGGGATGCGGAAACGCGGACGTGTTGTTCAGCTGTTCCTCGAGCTCGATTAGTGTCGCCTCTTCGATGATCGGGCTGTCGGGGGGCGTCGCCATCGCACGGTGGCCCCCCAGTCGTTCACCGCCGTTGTTGTTGTCGCTGCAGTTGCTGCGGTCGCTGGCGCCGCTGTTCCCTCAGCTGTTGCTGCAGCCGGACGTGTCGCCCCGCACGGCTAGGCGGTTGCTGTTCTCGCTGCTGTCCCGGTCGTCGCACACTGTCCACACGCGCGCTGGCCACCTGACGGTAACTGCCTGTGCACCGGTTGCCTGGCACGTCATCGTCCACGCACACGACCACCGGACCGATCCGGCGGGGCGGGCCACCGCCCGACTATTTCGTCGCACGATTCACACTTTCACAGGCCTGAGTCACCTGCAACAGAACGGACGTAATGTGTAATTGCTGGTTTTCGCATCGGTTCGGCCAAAGCGTAACGCGCGAAATCCGTTGATATCGGTCGTTGACCGAAAACGCGGTAGCGCGCGGCGCATATCATGCACCGAAACAATGGCTAACGGTTATTTGATAATCTTAATAATATAATAAACGATTGTTTTTTCCATTACTTAACGCAGTGGTTGGCAACCTTTTTGACCGCGGGGGTAAGGTTTTTTTTCGAATTTTTATCGTCCAGCACCAAACATTAATCCTCCCGCGGAAATGCCCGGCAGTACTCGCGCGTGTACGCAATAAATATCTCATAAATTATATCCGGGGTGATTCGGCATGAGCAAAATTCTTTCCTTTAATAATAAATTTATTTGAATTTTAACTTTCGACGTTTTTAAATATACCCTAAGACCGTATTTTAAATTTTTTTTGTTTATGTTAAACTGCTTATTACTCTTGGTATACGCGGTAAAATAACTCAAAACTACTCGTTTACTTTTTGATTTTAATACGTCAAATATTTGGAAAATTCATCCGCCAAATAATTTACTACTGTAAATAGTTAAAAATAAAGATTATCGTTTGTAAAACAGAAGTTTGTATCTCCACAATACTACGCTTTAATTAGCAAAAAAAAAATCTCAATAATTTAAAAATGTGGTCTATAAAAGCATTTGAAAATTTCAATATTCAGATTTTGAGTAACTGCATTATAGGAGGGCAATTTTTTTTTTACTGATATTCCATAAATTATATTGATAATTATGATTTATTAAGTTGATATAACTAAATGTTAGACAAATTAAAATATTATTGAAATATCGTAATAATTTAACATATTTTTGCCGACCATATCAAATTACTTCACTGATCTTGGATTGCCGACCCTCGATTTAACATGAATGTTAATTGCGTAATCGTAGTCGGTTTGTCATAATCGGTATCAAATGTATTTAATATGGCATTTTTAATTTGATAAATATTTCTTACCGCCTTGCCGGTCATTAAACTAAAGTTATTTTTATTATTATAAAAATATTAACGAATGATTTAACCGAACACCATTTTTACTGTAATATTAAACCATCGTTGTGCAAAAACTTCCTAAATTGAGCAGACCAAAACTATACTAAAAATAAAATAAATCTGCTAAAATTCGTCCGATATAGATTCGATTCTATCCGACCCGATTGAAATGTAAAATATAATGCCCCAACGACAGCATTTAATTCGCATATACCAATATTACATCAACTAAACCCATTGGCGATTGCGGGCAGTTTGTAATAACTAAAAACGTTTAAAAATGACAGAGCGTTTTGACACTTTGTGGATTTCACGAGAAAAATGTACACAGCTAGTTACGTCATTTACACGCCATAACTCGTTGAAATCAAATTATAAACGTTCAATTAATCAGTAATGATATAAATGAATAGCATAACATAAGACCTTGAACATAATCAAATTAATTTAAGAGAATTAAAAAAATAATTTTTTTCCTATAGACGCTATAATAATATCTTCAAAGAATAGATTAAAAAGGATGTACTCGTCGAATTAAATACATATTAAAACCGTGAAGACCCAAATTAAACTTAAGTCTTAAAATATATTTTAATCCAAGCATAAAGAATTAAAATTAATGAATTATATTTTCGTCGAATTAATTTCCACTTTGTCATCTTAGAAAAATTCACAAGATATAACTTAATTAAAACAAATTAATTATATATTAAATTTTAGAGTTCATCAATGAGAGCAAACTAAATGAAACTTCGTCATAATTTTTAACCAATGATTATTAAATATCAACTTTAACATTGGCTATAGTGTTACTAGTGATGGAAAATCATATAAAAAATACTACTTCCATAATTTTTTTTTCAGTTTCAGAAATCGTATCATAATAAACTTATCATTCTTGTTCATGTATTCAAACTTTTATAAATACGATTGAGCTTCAAAATAATATTAAAAACAAATTACAAAACAAATGAAATGTGGTGATATAACAATTGATATATTTCAAAATACAATAATAAATTTTTTTATCAATATTTTTGAAAGTGGTAAAAATATATAAATTGTATTTTTTATGAGAATTCAATACTATTATTAATAGCCTATTCATTACTCTACTCGTTTTAGTAATATACAAAAAACTGAAGTTGTTTAATTATTAACACAAACCTAAAATAATTTTTAACTAAATTAAAAAAAAAAAAGTACGTAAAAAAAGATACTTAACATATAAATTAAAAGCTCTACATATTATTTATTTATATTGAAAGTATATTTATAAGTCATAATTCATTGACTATATATTTTAAAATCAGGTCTTTTTATACAGTTTTTATACTTTTTTCTAACTCTTTTCAAATATAAAAATAATATTAATTACCCTTGCAAAATATAAATTTAACTATAGCTATATGTATACTATAAATATATGTTTATTTAATACATATTTTACTCTTTAAAATAAAATCTTTTTATTTGAAAAATTCGTTAATATTATTTATGTATAATGCATATAAATAAAATATTTAACTATACGTATATCAAAATAGTTTACTTATTATAATAATCAATCAGAATTTAGACAGGAGTAGTAGAAAATATATGTAACCATTGCAATCAATCAATATCTATGTTTGAATTTACATAATCTCTCATCAAAACTTCAAAATAGCTATAATTAATTAACGTGTACATTATACATACATCAAAACTTAAAGAAAAATATTTTCTGCTATAATATTAAATCAATAAAGTATCAAACTTAGGTTAGCTTAGCAAAATTAAAAGTTAATACAACTTTCTTACATAAATCTATCTAGGGAGGAATATATTATAAGAAATTCCATCTAAAATGTATTATAATAATTTTTAAATAGGTCGAACAAATAAAAACACATCAAATTTAATACTAATAGGAAATAGTAGCTTTTTAAGTTTAATGGAACACCCTTTCAATGCAATGACCTCTATTCGTAGTTAAATACATTATACAACCAATAGTCCCAGTACAATTTATTGCAAAATAATATTATAAAAGTTTTTTGTTAAATATATCATAAGATGTGTATTGAATATTCAACTGGAATGTTTACAATGATTTAACAATTGAACTGGCCCTTTGTTATTGTTAAATTTAACAAAAACAAAACAAACTTCGATTTATTCTACCTTTTTACTTGCTTTTCTGCCAATAAATGATTTATTATTCGTATCATGGAGGTGTATAAAGTTACTATTCTGTTGTTTAATATTATTTTGTTACTTCTATTATTTGACTTATGTGTTTAAACTTAGTAACAACAAAACTGGACTACTGCCTACGTCAAAGTAACCAAGATAAAATTTAAACATTCAACTTTTGTTTCATAATTTTATAAAATATTATTTGTGCTAAAATATATTTCATACACACACACACACTACTCTAAAAAGTCCAGAATTCTCATATGATAACAAATATGAGAACAAACAATTTAATATATTTTATTCTACTTCAATTTGTTCGTCCTAAACAGTATATTTAAAGCAAAATAATTAAAATTTTTAAGTACTAAATCTGGCTACAAAAAATTATACTTGTGACAAAACTCGCTCAATGACTTTTAGCGATGCTTTTAACACGCATTTAGATTTCAAATATCATATAATAACTCGCAATGGTGACTTGTTTTCTTTAACGACATCACCCGTCACATTTTTAATTTAATTTAAATTTTTTTTCTGTCTACTGAAATGGCAGCCAACAGAATTCTTAAGAGGATTTTATTCTGATAAGTGGATAAAATGCGGTTGGTTTCAAAATTAAAGTGCGAGAAATGTTTAATTTCTGTTGAATAGTAAGTTTTATTCTCTGTTTCTGTCCAGTCAGAACAGAATACAATAAAAAATACAAAATATAAAGAAACTTAATTAGTCCTTTAAGAAGTATTTTTGGTAAGCTTTAGATTCCTTTTTTTCAGGAACTATGCCAAAAACCACTGGGAGTTTCTTCAATGGATAATATTTACAATAACTTATAAGTACGAAAGGCCATGAATCACAATAAAGAAAATATATTAGACAATACTTCTTATCATGTGCAGGCCAAAAGCTCTGAACAATACGTCATAACAACTCTATACCGTTCATAAAAAAATATAGTTTATAGTCTCCAGTAGTCAGTACTCTTTACACATTTTAAACACATAAATAAAAGATTTCTTTAGAAAATAAAAAGATACAATTTTTCTATATTCCAAGTATTTTTTTCTGAGAAAGTCAAAAACTAAATTTCGATATTTATTTGTTTAAAAGTAAAAATAAAAGTCATATTCATAGATTTTTTTTTATATTTATAAGATACGAGTATGTATTATATTCGCTCGATAAATATAAATATAACTATTATTTTATTACGTGTGACTTTCAATAAACTGTTTATAGTTTTATTAGTCTTTATAAAGACAATAGAATACATATTTATACTTTTTTTGTATTAACAACAATATTTTTATTCACTAAGCAACAGGTTAGATAATAATATAGTAATAATATCTTTTATTATTTTACAATATGAAAATATAATTTTCAATACGATAATAAATCAGAAAATATCAATTAAATATAAATACTAAGTGTATAAAATTAATGTGAAAAATACATGATTTAAGTTTAAAAAAACAACTCGAATAGATAAATTTGTTCAATTTGTTCAAATCTCTCGAACTATTCTCTCAAAGAACATTTGTGTGTGTGTGTACGTGTGTGTTTGTGTGCGTGCGTGCGTGCGCGCGTGTGTGTGTATTTGTGTTTTGATAAAAATTATATCTTAGTATGTACTAATA